ACGGTTGAAATGATGCTGCGATGCGTATTTATAGAGTTCTGTTCCAAAAGTCTACGTCATAAGTGCATACAAACTTCCCAATGGTGCGCCGATTTTACTTGCTTATACAGGCAAAAGATTCGAACGGCTGAAAAGTTTCGAAGAATCCGAAAAAATTCGTTCTTTTCGTGTCATAGAATTCTCACTAGATAGCTTTTATTATAGAAAACATAGACATCAATTCTTTACGTGAGTATAAGGCAAAATAAACTATTTTTTGTCTGATGCTATGTTTCATAAAAAAAATTGTTTAGCTTCCCAGTGGATAGCCTTTGTGAGATTGTCGATTTCATGAAGGAATTCTCAACATTTTCTCTTCCCGCAAAGTTACTTCCTATTTTAAAATTACTAAAAATACATCAACAAAGAAGGAAAAAGAGGTGAATAGACTTGAGAACTGTTATCAAAGTCACCCAGAGATGTAACTCTCTCTAGCCACTTATTACGAACTTGTACGTTTATTGTGACATCAGATGCCTGTGAGACGCTGAGAAAGACTACGCATGAATTTTTGATATGCGATAACTGGTCGTTTTTTTCTCTTAATCAGGCGCAAATACATGGAAAGTTTTGGTTACAGCAATTTTTCAAAAAAAAAATGTTATTTAGCTGGAAGTTTTTCAGTTCACCTTCAAGTGAGGTGAAAACTTACAGCGTTTCGCTCTTATATTTTTACCCTCACCGAGAGTAAGCGTTAATTAGCTTTTTTCACTACTGAGAGAGTTGCTTTCAGGCACTGTTGCTGGTCTCTGCAATCAACATGAATTCTATATCTCAACAAGAATCGAATTGAATAAACGAAGTATAGCTGATATCTCTTTTTTCATGATAAACAACTTAAAATGACCTCCACTTTATTGATACCCCACGACTTTATGCTCTGTCACCATTTCCTTTCAACAATCTTCTAAATTTCGAATTAGACGCAGGTCGTCAAGCGACATTCAAGTATACCACAAAACATTCAAAATTAAATCTGCAAATAACGTTGTGCGTTACCGATAGTGGATGGATATTCATTAGCAGCCGCTAAACATGGTACACCATGTGACTGAGCCTTCAGGAATACTATTACAAGCCCCACCAGAAATGTGTGAGCTAGCAATTCAGAGTTAAAGGCAGCGACTGAAGAAATAGTTTGGGGTATTCACAGAAAAGTACAATAGGTGCACTTTTAAGTGTTTTCTTGAACCCAGTCCTTTTTTATCTTTATTATTTCAGTCGTCCTTCATTAGTGTCCGAGTTGCAGTTTCATGAGAACTATGACTGTATTTAAGCTTTGAATGACTTAATGATATCCCGAAGTTTTCTTCAAGGTGAAACTCACTTATGGTGTACCTGAGACACTGAAGTACTGAATTCAAGCATTTCCAAGAAATGGTTGCATCGTTACTGCTTGCAATGTATTCCTTCCTCTCTTCGTTTTTCAATCAGAAGAAAGTGAGGGCGAAATTACATTGACTGTTATTGATGGGTGAAATATTGCACAGAAACGAATCTTCAGATTTCGACAGCAATGTACTTTTTTCATATACACAAAGAGTTGTTTGCCCATGTATTGCGTAAAAAGCACCCACATACCCCGGGTTTAAGAAAACGGCTTCACTACTGTCCATGAAGAATTGCCTTCAGTTCACAAAAATTGGCAGCTTCTAGAGAATTCTTGAAGGATGAAACTGGATGTTATCCTAGTGAATATCCAAAAAGAATCAACCGATTAGCGCTCGAAAAATCCATTTAGGAAAGAAAATCTCACGTAGCAAGCAAATGCACATTTAAAACCGGGTGTTGGAGGGAAGATCTGTGCGAAGAAACGAAGTGAGTGACATAAGCATCAAGTTTTGCAAAATACGTGGTGTTGTATAAAGACAAATAAAATAACAATATTCTTTGCAAGAGGAAGTGAATTTTCAAGCAGTGTTGCTCTTTATACACTATGTGTTGAACTGCGATACCGAAAAATCGTTTTTCAGCCTTAATGTTTAACGAGCGCCGCAAGTTTCGTTTCTTAGCAAATGCGGTTCTGCGGGGTGGCTTATCATACTAATGTAAAATAATAAAATTATTCATTTCATATGTACTGATTGCGCTAAATTTCTCTTCGCCTCTAAAAATCAGTGAGGATTGTGATGAAAAGAAAACGAGATCTTTTTGCCGAAACTTTTTTTGCATAAAAATGCAATTACAGCTGCTTAGTCAGCTCTACTGGCCTCATAAATTCCTTCTGCATGAGCGCACATGCCTCATATGTCTCTTCCATTTTTAATTTTTGTTGGACCGTAAGAAACAAAAATTGTTTTGTTCGTTTTGTTCATTTTAAGCCAAATATTAAAGATGAATCACTGAAGCCTCCAAGCATATCCGCCATAAATAATTGAAATCTGACAAAGGAGAGCCTCGCTTGAGACATCAGAAGAATCCAAATATTTTTGGCATGTGCTCAGTGCTGGTAAAATGCAAAAATATATAGCTCATTGGAGAACGAGTGTAGCGATTTGATTTCAGTTAAATTGACATACAAACTAAATTGGCGAATCCAGTCCCTCACGCATGGCTTATGAATTCAGTTTTTTTGCATTGGTGAGTAGTTACCAGTCTTATCTGGCAGGTCAATCATGCTGATTTATTACGTCGGTAGACCCCCATACAGCCAATTTTAGGCTAGACGTACACTCGATTATCTCTGTAATGCTTAATGAATAGGAATTATTGGTTTATTCTCCAGAAATTAATCAGTGCTGAAACCTTAATCATTATCGGTATAATAGCAGAAACTTCCAGATGCTTCTTAAGTCATTCTTGCTTCTTGCATTTGATATATTTCTACGAAAACCAGTACAGTCTTGTGAGTATTCTAGTTGCCAGATGAAAAACCTTTCTTTCCAATTCAGTGGTCCCTGAGTGTCTGCAAAACATCATGATAGAAACGAACTTGCTGTTTCTTCGAACTTGAAAATGAAAGAATGCTGAACACGAGCAGGAAAATAAACATTATCAGCCTTCGAAAAGGTGGCGGAAATCGTGTGCACCAAAACCAGCGTTGAATGAGTCCGTGACCACCCGTTAATACACCGATAGCGACCTGACTTAATACCGCAACATAGCTGTGAGTTCGATACAAATAGAAGGGTTTACAAATTTAACATTTTGCCTGCCTAAGTATATGGATCATTCTCCCTACAGTATCCAGAGTTCCGAAAATCCTGCCCATAAATAAAGCCTCAAAAAGCTACTGAGTTATAAACAGACTCTGCCATGAAGAGTTTGTAATTGTAATGGACAAATGCTGTTCAGTAGATTTACTGTGAATTCTACAACTTCTTTATTGAACGTTTTGAAAACGTAATAAGATTTTGTGCCAACCTTGGTACTGTGAGATAGCGTTCTTTTACAGTAGGCAAAAATTGAATCGAAAAGCTTGTATTTATGTCTCACTCTAGGTTTGTATATGGAAAGTTTTAGAAACTTGCCGACGTACTCATGTAGTAGATGATTATAGTTTACTTCAGTATGAATAACCTTCGCACCCTGCTCCGCATCGTTGAATTTGGCCCATTGTCACCATGAAAGTTATGATCCCAGTCATGAACAGCTGTGGATGATCGACATAAATACAACAGTACGCGCTATACATACTTTGAAACGATGCCACATGTTGTATCACTTGAACACACTGGGTATTTTCGGCCTGCATGTCATGTCAATGAAATGCTAAGCCGATGATGATGAGTAAGCAACTCTGTTCTACTCTATTTACCTTGCCAAGCGAAAAGGTATTTTAAAAACAATTTCGCCAATGAAGAAATTTCGAGAGAAAGAAGATTTACTGTACTAGCGGAATCTCACTTGAAAAGTCTTGCCAAGCGAAAAGGTATTTTGAAAGCAATTCTGCCAATGAAGAAATTTCGAGGGAAAGAAGGTTATATTGTACTAGCGAAAGTTCACCTGAAAAGTAATGGTTTCGAGTTTTATACTACAGAAGTACATTGGAGTAGATCAGATTATCAATAGATATTATGATTATAAACCGCACCAAAATGTGAAGTCGTGGGGTATACATAATTGCACATGCGATCCCTTTGATCTAGGCAAGTAAGAGTGATCCCTTGCTCGCAAACGTCACTAGAGGTCTCAGATTATTTAAATTGTGTAGAATAGATGGTTACATTAAAGAATACTTTTGAGTCGTGTTAGTGAACTTTTCATAACTGGATCTGATAGTGATGAACACGTGTACAAATTTTCAGACACTTGTGCACATCGTTCATGGCATCCACCTTACGTAATCCTCAGTGGTTTTCAGACATTACGTCTTAGGCAAGCTTCTTCCCTGCTGACACTCCCTATGTGCTGCAGAAAATATTGGCATTGTCTGAGAGTCATCTTACTAAAAACAGAGTCAGCCCAAGTAATTCTCTCGCGATTCTGGTGGCACAAAAAGGCTGATATGAAGATCTACTCGGCGGATATTAAGGTTTTCGCTTTTTTCATAGCCAATAAGTTGGATTATTTGCCTGCGCTCGCTCGTACTCGTTGAATATCCATGCCTTTGTTCTTGTTCATGTTCAAGTTCAAAATTTTGTGAAAGAACACAGCTCAAATGAAAATAGTACTCAGTGATGATCTTATAAACAAAGTGGTCCGTATGATAGATACCCAGTGATAATTTTTTTGTCTTCTCCAGAAGTCTGTCCTGCAGTAGTCATAGATGTAGAGTGATATGCAAAGCTTTTGCGTCAGGCGGGACTCGAACCCATATCTCACTCTATCCGGTAACTCGTGCTCTACCCCGTCGCACTACTAACGCCCATTTTGCGCACCACTCTTTCTACGCTGCAGCGCATCTATCTGTCAGCAGTTAACGGTCAACGGCCTGGCCCGGGTAGTCGGTATCGACATTGAACCCGCTGTAGATGCGCTGTAGATACGGCGTAGCGTAGAAAGAGTGTGGTGTTAAATGGGTGTCAGTAGTGCAACGGATTGGAGCACGCTCTCCTGCAAAGAGTAAGATGTGGGTTCGAGTTCCGCCTGACTCGAAAGTTTGGCACATCACTGGGTATATCTATAAATCTTGCCACCGCTAAAGCTGTCAAATAACAATAATTTCGTTTGATCAATAATACTACTAAGGTCGATTTACCTCAGACAGTGAGCATTTGAATCGACACATCGCCTTTGATTGACGAGAAGTCGGTTATTCTACATAGTATTGCGAGCTGTGTTTGCTCATAACGATCGCGATTACAGCAGCATGGATTCTCCACTGGAAAACAAAGTTTGGTCCGTGCTGATTAGGAGTGAACAATTGAAAAACAGATCTTATATGCTAGAGGAGAACTTTTCATAAAAGTGTTAGTAACATTCGAAAGCTGAGACTTTAGCCCACAGCCTCTCATAGCCGGTTTTTTGAATCACCCTTGACAACGATGCAGCATTCATAATAAAATCATGTTTGATGAAAACACGCGTTTTTTCTCCTATCCCGCTTACCTTTCGCCGAGCAAAACTCCTTTACTAAAGTGCTAGTACTCAAACTAGCACAAGCATCAAGGGACTTGAAGATGTGTTTGTGTTTGCTTTTAGAAAGCTCTTTGATCTTTCGATCTCCTCTGGTCTCTTGACTTCTGATTTAAGCCTCGCCAGACGGAGCTCTTTCTTTAGATTATTAGTGATCATCTGACAGCGCAATGTTTCCTGACTCTGTTAATGTTCGTATTTTTTGAAAAAACGGTATAGCAGATAAAATAAGATCGAATTTTACATTTTTGGAAACGCTGTTCACCGTCTATTCGACAATTCGAGGGGCCGTAGCAGGGACGAGACGAACGAAATATTGTTGTTTAAGTGCGATTTTTTATTTTCGCTGAAGCGATTGACTAAGATACTACGGTAATTTTTTGACATATTTATATGTATTTCCTTCCGAGGATTTGTAAGCGTGAAAAAGTGAAGGCAAAAGGCGAGTGTGAAACATGATTGTCGATCTGAATGGTGCAGCGTTGTAAAAGGATCTTTCAAAAAGCCGGCGAAGTGGAGTTCTAGCCTGAAGTCTTAGCTTTCGTATGGTAACTAACAATTCTATGGAAATTTCCTCTCCAGCTAGTGAGATCGGTTTCATAAACCATTAATTCCAATTTATCAGTTGTCGAGTGGAAATCAAGTGCACATCTAGCCTAAAATTGACTGAAGGTGACATTCCGATGTGTTAATTTAGGATGAATGCTCTTCTAGATAAGACTGACAACTATTCACCAATCCAAGAAAAGTGAATTCATTAGAAATGCGTGTGAGTTCGAATTCCTTAACAATCCGGCTTGTATGTAACAACAATCGAAATGCTGTAATCGACCCTCAATGGGCGATATATCCCTAACATTTACCAGCTTGGAACACATACTAAAAATATTTGGCTCTTTTCGATGCCAGCTTGAATGAAGGAAAGCATGTGATTAGAATTATTATTTTGTACGATTCAGCAGAAATGAAAACCGGAATAGACATTTGCGGCATGTACGCTCACACGGAAGGCACTCCTGAGGCCAGTAGAGCTGACTAAGCAGGTGTAACTGCATTCTGTGTAAAAAATTTACTTCTAACTCTTCTAATTTCTAGAAAAATAAAAATCACTACTTTTGTGTCTTAGGTATACCTTAAGTGAGTTTCACCTTGATGAAAACTTCGGGTATTATTAAGTCATTCGAAGCTTGAATACAGTCACACAGCTCATGGGACTGCAACTCAAAAACTAATGAAGGACGACTGAAATAATAAAATAAAATAGAACCGGGAATCAAAAAAGCGCTTAGACTTGCAGCTACTGCACTTTTCTGTGAATACTTCAAACTATTTCTTCAGGCGCTGCTCTTTACTCTGATTTGCTAGTTCACACATTTCTGGTTAGGCAAGTGATAATATTCCTAAAGATTCAATCTCACTGCTTTGGTGTATCATGTTTAGCGGCTGTTGATGTTGATGTTGATCAATATCCATCCACTATCGACAACGACTGACCTCGTGTGCGAGAGTGTGATTCAATACGTCGGGAGGCCATCGCGAGTTATCGTAAAGGCCAGATATGCATTCATTCACCTCAAACGAAGTTAAAAATTGAAGTCGAATGCATGGCGCATCCCTCAGGGATTGATCAACGCCGAGAGCTTTATCCTTTTATCCTTTTTATCGACAACGATCAACGTTATTTGCAAATTTAATTTCGAAAGTTACGTGGTATATTTGAATGTCGCTTGACGACACTGCGTCTGATAAAAAAATTAGAGGTTTGTTGAAAGGGAATGGCGACAGAGCACAAGATCGTAAAGTATCAATAAAGTGGAGGTCATGTAAGTTGTCTATCTTGGAAAAAATGCCGAAATGTCGACTAAACTTCGTTTATTCAATTCGATTCTTCTCAAGATATAGAATTCACGTTGAGTAGAAAACAGCAACAGTGCCTGAAAATTACCCATGGCGAAGAAAGCCTCAAAAATGGCAGTTAATTTAAGAGAAACCATTCTGATAACCTTGACATCAATTACATCTAATTTACCCGAGGTTTGTGACTGCAGTATTAATAGCAGTAGGAGGTGAAAGCAGTTCAAAGGCCGATGTTTCGGCAACTTTGCCTTTTCTAGAGCCCAAAAGTATTTCGTCTCAAACGACTTGAATTCAAAATTCTTGCTTAACTTAATTATACAACAATCGGCAAACTTATACAATGAGCATTGGTCAACAATAATGTGTTGATTAGTGTAGAAGTAATGGTGGTTTATGCACTGTCTAAATTTGACTGGTTATTGGGATGTATCAATAATGAAACTGGCTCAAAAGCTAGAGTCTGAAATCGCAATTACTTTAGAATTAGAGACATTAGTACTGGGTGTGGTTTTTAGAGAAATGCTCCTAGTGAGCAATATCAGGAAAGACGTTTGTGTAGCTTTTGCTTAGAATTTTGAAAGCGGACTACTTAGCTTTTGGGGTAGTTAGCTTGTTGTTTGAACATCACAGCAGATTTTGCTGAAGTTACATAGTAAGGCTTGAAAGGTTCTGCACTTTCCCAATAATTAAAATTTTTACTCAAATTAATTACTTGGGCCTATGTCCTCTAATAACATATATGATTAGCAGTTCCACAGTAGTTTATATAAAGTTGTCTCCTTTAGCATCCAATTTCTGATGACTCCTCACAATAAAATATATGGTATGCATAACACACTTCCATTTCTTAGAACATCATTGGTCAGCATATTTTGTAGCTAATGTGGGTTAATACATTTTGTTCACTTGATACAATAGCATATCCAACACGGTGCATAGAACACGCTTGTCATGCAAGAGCATAATCAATCAAAATTCATTTATTTGACCGCCTCTTGTGGTGCTATGATCTTATAATATACTCAGTAATGTAGAGTGCCGTGCAATTACATTTGCGCCAGCCAGGAATCGAGCTCAGATCCCACTCTTTCCGGGAGCGTGTGCTAAGCCGTTACACCACCAGCGCGTCGGTGATGTAGCTGCTGCAAATAATTCATAGAAACCAACAAGATCAGGACATCCGAACAGAGTCTTCTACTTCTATCAACATGTGAGAAAAGAGTGTACTGTTCTATTATGGCGGGGCACTTGAGGCCTTCGGTAAAAGCGTATTCTTCGCTGTTATCCGACTGAATGTATGGTTATCTGAAGCTTAAATCAAGTAAATTTTCAAGACATATTTTGTTTCTTATATTGCTTGTTTTTAACGCCGTGTCAGTCAAAACGAGATTTTCGCCCCATATTTGAAGATTTCTCGCCTGTCAGAAGTTTTTTTAAAATAACAAATTAACCATTAGATAGGGCAAATCTTTCTGATCAAGAAAATGTGTTTGCTGTTTGGTATTACACCTGTACACAGAACCTGGCCGACTAGAAGTGCTTACTGAGTGTGGAACCCAATATTCTTTCGTTCGTTAGGAAGCTCGAAGAAGTCCTTTCCAAAAGCCAAATACACCATTATGATAGAAAAGATTTTTTCTATTCAGTGATTAAAAAATTATTACAACAAAATTTTTATCGAGAGACAAATCTTCGAATAAGTAACAAAATCTCATTTTGACTGGTAGGGTGCTAGAACTAAGCTATTTGAGCAATTAAACATGCCATCGAAATTCACTTGAATTGAGCTATCGATAAACCACAGAAACGTTTTGCAAAAGCAAGAAA